ATATTCATCATGTGCCAAATTATTAAATGGTTGTTGGCCAGTTGATACTACAGACATCAGAACTCCAAAACTGTATATATCTGATGCCATTGTATATAGTTTCTCCTTTAAAACTTCTGGTGCAATACATGGTAGTACTCCACATATATCATTTTTGTTTGATGCAGATGGTTGACTAGCTGGACATGATAATCCCAAGTCTGCAATATATGAATACCATTTGCTATCTTGAAGAATGTTACCACTATGAAGATCATGATGAATAATTTCTTTTTCATGAATAATTTCTTTTTCATGAATATCTTTTAAACCTTTAATAATTTGTTTAAGAATGAACATTTTGGTTTCCCATTTTAAATTTTTAAAATCTTTAGTTAAATAATTTTGAAGACTTCCATTTTCCATATATGCCATTACAAATATATATTCTTTTGTAATCGGATCTTGTGTTAATCCATAAATATGAATTATCTCATATTTATCATGAAACTTCATATAATTTTTGAACTAAATAATAAATAAAATATTTAATTACAACAATAATAATTGATAAATCAGAAAATAAATAGAAAATAAAATAATTTACCTCATTAAGAAATTCATCAGAAATATTCTTTGAATTATGTAGTTTTTTTAATGCCACAGTCCTATCTTTGATAATTCTTTCTTTATTTTCATACTTTTTCTCACCATTTAACCAAGTAGCTTTGTATATAGTTGCAAACCCACCTTCACCTATCTTTTCAAGATTTGTTAAATCATTATAAGGAATCCATTGAAGATAAGTATAATTATTGTAAAATTCTGCTTTAAGTTGTGTACTTTTAATCAACTCATCTAATGCTTCATTGCCACTAGTCCATCCTTCAATTAATGGCTTTGGATCACATGATTGACACCATGAATAAAAAGTATTATATCTATTGCAGGTTGGACACTCCCCGTATTCTTCTCCTCTTCCCTTTGAATATTGATCTTCATAATCTTGAAGACTTCTATCTTCCATGTATTTCATTACAAAGATATATTCTTTTGTAGCTGGGTCTTGTGTTAATCCATAAATTTTATTTATAAAATATTTATCATAAAATGTAACATAATTTCTAAACTATATAAAAAAAATATATTTGAATTTCAGAACAACATTTAAAAATCTGAAATTAATAGAAAAATAAAATAATTTACCTCATTAAGAAATTCATCAGAAATATTCTGTGAATTATGTAGTTTTTTTAGTGCTACAGTCCTATCTACACTAGTTCTTTCATAGTTATAATCTATACTTTTCTCACCATTTAACCAAGTAGCTTTGAATATAGTTGCAAACCCACCCTCACCTATCTTTTCAATATTTGTTAAATCATTATAAGGAATCCATTGAAGATACCAATTATTATCATACCCAGTTACTTTAAGTTGAGTACTTTTAATCAACTCATCTAATGTTTCATTGCCACTAGTCCATCCTTCAGTTAATAGCTTTGGATCACACGATTGACACCATGCCTTATAGGTATTATATCTATAACAAGTTGGACATTCCCCATAATTTTTGTTTCTTTTCTTTGAATATTCATCATTTTGAAGACTTCCATCTTCCATATAATGTATTACAGAGATATATTTTTTTGTAGTTGGATCTTGTGTTAACCCATAAATATAAACTTTGTCATGAAACTTTGTATAATTTTCAAGCTAAAATAACAAATAAAATATTTAATCACAACAATAATAATCAATATTTAAAAAATCCAAAAATAAATAAAAAAAATAAATAATTTACCTCATTATGAAATTCATTAGCAATATTTTGTGAATTATGTAGATTTTTTAATGCCACAGGCATATCCTTGCTAATTCTTTTGTTATCAACATTTACAGTTTTATAACCATTTAACCAAGTAGCTTTGGATATAGTTGCAAACCCACCTTCACCTATCTTTTCAATATTTATTAAATCATTATAAGGGATCCATTGAAGATGATTATTATAATGATATGTAGTTACTTTAAATTGCGTACTTTTAATCAACTCATCTAATGTTTCATTGCCACTAGTCCATCCTTCAGTTAATAACTTTGGATCACATGATTGACACCATGAATAATGAGTATTATATCTTTTGCATGTTGGACATTCCTCATAATATTTGTCTCTTTTATTAGAATATTCATCATATTCATCAGTAGAAGTATCGTCATGATGTTTATTTTCATCCAAAATGTTTTCCATTGTGTAAAAAAAATTTTTTTTTTAAAGAACTTTTTTTTTTTTTCAGCCACAAATATGTATCACAAAAAATATATTAATTAATACATCTAAAAAAAAATTAAAATCTTACCTGAACTACAACAATTCAGCATTGACACCCTAAAGTTGTAAAACTGTAATAATATTGCAAGCATGCAATCAGAGTTATTGGAGTCACCAAATCTGACAACTATACTGCTTGGTTAGGGTTTCTATTTGAATAAGGGTTTATTCAAATTATTTGTTTTACTTGTTATGAATTTGAGTATTTGAATTACATTGGAAGTTTATTTGAATAAAATGAATAATGAATAATTCAATAATTTGATAATTCAAATAAAACAAATGAACGAATAATTCAAATAAACAAATAACAAATAAAATAAATAATTCAATTGATAATTTAAATAAAACAAATAAATGAATAATAATAATTCGAATGATTCGAATAATTTGAATAAAACAAATAAACAAATAGTTCGAATAAAAATTCGAATAATAAAATGAATAATTCAAGCAAAACAAATATTTGAATAAACGAATGATGATGTTAATTCGGATGTCAATTCGAATGATAAACGATAAACGAATGATGTCAATTCAAATAATAATAATAAACAAACGATGCCAATTCAAATAATAATAATAAACAAATGATGTCAATTCGAACAATAATAATAAACAAATGATGTCAATTCGAATAATAATAATAAACGAATGATGATAATTCGAATAATAATAATAATAAACAAATGATACAATTCGAATGATAAACGAATGATGTCAATTCGAATAATAACAAACAAATTATACAATTCGAATAATAAAGAATGATGTCAATTTGAATAATAAAGAATGATGTCAATTCGAATAATAAACAAATGATACAATTCGAATAATAAACAAATGATAATAACAATTCGAATAATAAACGAATGATACAATTCGAATGATAAACGAATGATAATAACAATTTGAATGATAAACGAATTGTGATAACATTTCAAACAAAATGAACGATTTGAATAATTCGAACAAAAATTTTATTACGAATAGAAACTCAACTCTATTGCAGAGTCACTAAACCTGGCACAATAATGTTCAAACTAAACTAAAATATACAACTACACTACTTGAGGCGTCCCTACTAGCAATATAGTAAAACTAATAAAGGGTTCCTAACTAATAATTAAATGTTGGCCAAACCATTAATCATCAGAAAGGGTTATGAATCAATCAATCATGCCAGATTTATTAATTAATGAAAATTGTTATTTTTATTACCGGTGTTATAAGATCAATTGTTTTTTAAATTTTTCACTGAAGGAATTTCAAGTATATTTATATTTCTTGAAGTATTACAAATAACATGATTTTGTCCAATAAAATAAAATAAAATAAAATAGAATGATAAATGATGACTAATTGACAATTACTAAAATTAAATGTCAAAAATGAGTCATTGGTGATGTCATGATTAAATGATACCTGATGAAATGTTTTTGTCATAATTAACAAGATTAAAATTTCAGATGTAAAGTAAGCACAAGTTACATCAAAAAAAAATTTTTTTTTTAATCAATTAATTCATTTGTTAATAATATTAATTAATGATATTTTTTAGTGTAAAAAATTTAATCTTCTGTATTCAGTTACAACATCTTTATTCACCTTCAGGCAATCAGGAGCCCTGCTCATCACTACATATTTTCATCAATTGTTAGAGTCGCATGTAGCAATGTCACACCTTGTGTCTTGTGAGTTGTCAAGACAAATGCATTCTGCAATGGGAATTGGCATGTGTACTATTTATTTTCAAAATTTATAGTGATTTTTTGAACATTCATTTTGATAATGTTGCCATTAGTTGGAAAAGTAATTTCTACATCATTATCATTTATAACTTTGGTGATCACACCTATTATTCTATTGCAGATGCCATGTTTAAACAGCTTATCAACGAACTCATGCTTTAATACTTTAATAGAACTTCCCATTATCATATAACATTATCTGTATCAAAAAAAATTATCAATCATAAATTTAGCCATAATTTAAAAGATATTGTTTATTGTTTAAAAAAAATAGATTCTGTTTGATAATTATAAATAAAATAATAATAATATTCAAATAGCTTTAGTTGTGCAGCTGCTAACAATTTAAAAACCGTTTTTCGGATTTTGACGTATTTTTTTTATTTTACCCAATAAAAAGTAATTTTGGTTGCGCAGCTGTGTAAATAATTGAAAAAACGTTTTTCGGATTTTGACATATTTTTTATTTTGCCCAATTACAATAAAAAGTAATAATTTTGATGTAACAATTAAAAATGTTTTTCGGATTTTGTTTGAGGTTTATCAGTCCCGTAATTTTTTTTTATTTTACATAATAAAAAGTGATAATTCCTAGTCTGTGTTTTGTTCCAAGTATATATTCCTCGAAAATTAACAATTGGAATAATCAAAATCTTATTTATTATTACGAACCATCCCAATTCGATAGATGATCAACAATCAACATGAACCTTTTTTCGAATAATAAAAAATTGAGGAGCGGAAGTTCATTGCAAACAACAGGCAAGGCACTTGCAAATTGCAATTGCAAAGAACTCTTTTTAATAAACAGAATATTTGCCGTACGATTCAAAACTCGCTTAACAAAGTGAAAACATTGATCGCACCAAAAACCAAACAGAACTTGATATTAATTCGTGATTCTTTCAATAATGAGTGATCTTCATTGATTTTAAATAAGGATCAGCAGGGATAATTACACTAATAAAACACATCTCTCGATAATCTCCAACCAATTTTTAAAAAATTAAACCAACCCTTATTAAAAGTAAATTTTAATTTCATTAGGTTCAATCATTCCTCATTTACATTATGAAAGCAGATTAGAGAAGAAATCCTATAAAAAATCAAAAGGTATATATTAAATAAATATTTTTCTTATCTCCCTATAAAAAATTTGCATTGTTGAACAATGCATTTACTATCCAATATTAATTGAAATATACAAAACGAAAAACGTCATATAATGATGCCTGGGAATGAAGATGAAGCAGTTAAAAAAATGAATAAGACACAGTTCACACTCTATATATATTTGATATAATAATAACGGAAAGCCCAATTTACATGTCTATATCAAATATAGAAATTATTATTGTCTATAACGGACACTTTTTCCTAAACCAAATGGTCCATTACAGAGAAAAAAATAATATAATAAAAATTTTCTAGATGTTAAATTAAAAATTTTTAATTTTAAAATGAATTACTTTGAACTGGGTTGGGCTCTTTGTGAAAACAAAATTTATGAAAGTAAAACAACTTCTAAATGCCTATTTTTTGTCAGGAAATGTATACAAGAAATGCTTACAGATCTAAAACAAAGAGTAGAAGCAGGTAAATTGGATGCAATGAATGAGTAACACGTTTTAGTAGAGAATGTAAAAAAGAATCAGCTGAGAAAGAATTGGACGAACCATTATTTTGCATTATGTTGATTTTATACCCATAATCCCCAATCAAGATTGAAATAGTGCAAAAAAATGGCTTTAACAAAAAAAATATTTTTTTGATAAAAATGTTCATAACAGTCTGTTTATTGATATTGAAATGTTTGTTTACAAAATGCAAGTGGAAACATCATGTACTGGAAGATTTTTACCATAAAATGTTATAAATGCGTCCGCCGATCACGAATTAAATTTAATTTAGATAATAAAAAATCTTTTATTTTTATATTTTATATGAAAAAGAGTTTTCCAAATTGTGAGCCAGTTCTAAAAGAAATTATATATATATGCAAATGATCCAAGAGTCATGTTTATTTAAAGTTGCATTAAGTGGAGTAGAGGTAATAATTAATCAACAATAATTGATGTTGACTGACTACATTAATATTTTTAAACAATTATAAAAAAGGTTTTGCATTGGACGGATTATTTGGTACATTTATGTCATATGATAAACCAATGAAACAACAACTTAAAGCAACTGCTAAAGATATGCTCAATAAATCATATTCAATGGCTAAAAATTTTGCTTTAATTGGTGCCATATATTCTGGTACTGAACGTGGTTATAGAAGGTGTAAATATTATAATTTAGTTATATATAAGTATTTTCTCTTTAACCAATTACTGATTTTTTTAGTTTTATAGTATAGAGCTAAAAATGATTTGCATAATAGTACAGCCGTTGGTTGTATAACAGGCGGCATATTGGCTGCAAAAGCAGGTCCTCAGGCTGTTTTATTTGGTTGTGCTTTCTCGACTGCAATTGATTATTATATGAGAAGAGAATGAAAATCATATATATACATATATTATATTATAGACAACAAAGTAATAAATTATGTAAATATAGAAAAAATTATATAATTATTTTCATTAAATTCATCATTCAATCATTGTAAAACTAATGACATGTTTATAAATATATATTTTATAAATTAAATAAAAATCAAAATAATTAAGTGATTAATATAAAAATACACAAACACAATAAATTAAAAGTATTATTATTATTATTAATGTCATTTATCTTCTTGAAATATCAAAATGAATTTGAAACCACACATATGGATAATAATCTTTATCAACTAAATTATGAAATTCCTCAATATTTTCAACTTTACTTGACTCATTACCCAATGCCCCTCCATATTTTCCATATTGTGTATTCAGTATTTCTCTTATTTTCTTTTCCATCTTTGATTTTGGCTTTAAATAATATAATAATGTTATTATTATTACTAATGGTGTTTAATGATTTTTTTTGTGAGGAATCAAAGAAATAATACCTTTATTATAGCTGACATGAAATCAGGTGGTAATCCATAACGTAATACAGATTCAACATAAACTCTTAATACTTTCAAGTGAATCCATGATGCAAATACTTCTCCAAAATTTGTAGTTGCCAATCTTAATAATGATGTCTAGCAATATATATATTATAATTTAATTTTTTGTAAAATTAATTAATATAATTTATAATTTATATTGAAGGGGAGAATTTACCCATAATTCTTTTTCTGTAGCTCCAACTTCCTCAAATTCTTTACGATGATTAGCCATTTCATCTTCATTATACTTGAAATCTCGTACAATAAACTTTTCTTCTCTACATTTATTTGCAAACTCTTCACTAACCCTTTTGAAAAGTGTAATTGTAAACAATCCGTACTCATTATCTTCTGCAATTTTTCTATATAATATTTATAAATGTAAAAATTTAATTAATCATATAATATATATTTTATAATAAAGTATTGGAATAACATATTTTAAAATATAATATGTTCTTGACTTACTGAGAAGATCGTGGTACAATCATTTGAGTAATAGTTTCATATTTAGAGTGCCATTCTTTATAAAGATTCCTAAATGATAATAATTTAATATAAATTTTTTTTTGATTACTTTAACACATCATTAAATGCTACCAACATCTAAAAAAGTATTACTTACTTTGGCACTGCTACAAGTAGAGTTTCCAAGTATTCAGAATCTAAAACAAAATGTTCTTTTTTAACAAAACCTGCCAAATCACGAACTGCAAAATTTCCTCTAATAAGTTAATTATTGAAATAAATTTAATTGATTAAAAATAGATCTTTTTTGTATTTTATATTTTATATATTTAATCAACCAATCAATATAAATACGTTTGTTTTCGTTCCAGTACTTGTAAATTTCCTTTAATTTGATTATAATGGGCAGATTTTGCTTTCATCAGATTCTCAATTGTTGTCACTTCCTAAAATAATATATAATAAAACAATAGTAATAGCACTAATATTAATAATATTTATACAAACTACGCATATATATATACAACATAGACTAACTTCATTCAATTTTTCGGCTATTGCTGAAAGTGATTTATCAGCTCTGAATTTCATGGTATTCCATTGAAAAGTTGTTAAATATTGATCAATACTTTCTACAAAATAAAACAAGGTAAAATATAAAATATAATAGACTTGTATTGTTTTTTCTCTCTCCCAACACCACCAACACTCAAAATCAAAATATATACTTACTATCATTCACTATTAAATTTGCTTCGATTTGATCAGTGTCTCCTTTCAATAGACTGCGAAGAATATCAACAATTTTCATTGTTACAGATTCAAATGATTGATCATATTTGACAAATTCATCAGAAATCACCACCAAATTATCAAGTGTACCTATCTGGTAATTACATGTATATATTTGCATATGACCCAAAAAATGTACTTTTTAGATAAGTTAAAAAAAATTTTTAATTTTTTATCTTAAAAAATTTATTTTTATTTATTTCTCTTTTTTTTACAAAAATAAAAAGTTCTTTTATTTTTGAGTAATCGCATATACTTTCTCTCACACCTTGAATTCGGGAATAATGAATTGATATACTTCTGCAAATTCTACACTTGTTAATTTAGATTTTAGGTTTTGAAAAACAACTGATTTATTTCCTTCGGCAGGAACTAAAAAATTTATAAATTATTATTTATATTCATTGTTAATTAAACAAATTGAATAATGAAAAAAAAAATGAATATACCAGAAATGAACCAGTATAGGTTATTCTTGTTCTTGGACATTTTCAAAAGGTAAAGTAATAATAATAGTAAGAAAAAATTATATAAGGTCAATAACAAATAATATCAAGTAAAGAAAGATGCTAGATTGATTGATCAAAAATTGAATTGATCTAATCAATAGAGATAGCTAAAATAAAAATGGGTAATTTTCAACTTTTTTTGTTACACGAGTGCAAACTAGTCAAAGAAATTTTCATTGGGATTAAAAAAAATGAGTGAACACGAAAAAGAATTTCCCTCCAAGAATACCAAGAGCAACGAAAAAAACCAAATATTTACAGATGATAATGATGATAACATACCAGAAAACATCAAAGAAATCATAATAAAAGATTCAAAGATATTACCAAAATTTTGGATTGATAAATATAAAAATGAAACTTGTAAAAATTGGGATTTATTCTATAGAAGAAATACAACAAAATTTTTTAAAAATCGTAATTGGATAGGCCGTGAATTTATTGAATTGAATGAATCTTCATCTCAAAAGGTTTAATTATTGAATGATTGTGGAATTATTCAATATATACATTAATATTTATTTCATATTGTATAAAAAATTAGATTGTATTGGAATTAGGTTGTGGCGTAGGAAATTTTTTATTCCCTGTACTTGAATCAAATTCCAATTTATTTATCTATGCTTGTGATTTTTCTAAAAGAGCAATTGATTTTGTAAAGGTAAATAAAAATTTTATTTTATTATTATTATTATTATTATTATTATTATCATCATCATCATCACATCATCATCATCATTAATTAATTATAATATTTAGTTAAATCAAAAATATGATGAAAAACGTTGTAAAGCATTTGTTTGTGATTTAACAAAAGATTCTTTATCACAGTATATAATTAATGATAAAATTGATATTGTGTCTGCTATATTTGTATTTTCTGCTATGCCACCTGAAAATCATTTAAATGTTATAAAAAATATAGCTGAAGTAACAAAACCTGGTTCGGTGGTTTGTTTCCGTGATTATGCATTATACGATGAAACTCAATTAAAATTTTCCAATAGTAAATCAAACAAATTACAAGACAATTTATATGTTAGGCAGGATGGTACTTTATCTTACTTTTTTAGTAAAAAGTATTTAAAAGAAACTTTTGAATCTAATAGTTTATTTAAGAATATTGATATGGAATACGTTTATAGAGAAACAATTAACAGAGCAAAAAGTTTATGTGTTGAAAGAAGATTTTTACAAGCGAAATTTATTAGATTATAAACTTATTAATTAATATTATATTAGTAGCGATGATGATGATGGTGATGATAATAATAAAAGCAAATAAATACTTAAAAGTACAATTTTATTCTAAAATTACAAAGGTATAATAATATTAATATTATACCTTTATTTTCTCCAATATTGTGACCATTTATGAATGGTTTCAATTACTTGTGGAAACAACGCACTAACTGAATCATTTATTAAATTTTGGAAATATTTTATAGCCTCTTCTTCTGTCAAATCCAATCTAAATTTTTCTTGAACCTATATAAAATTATTAAAAACTATTATTATTATTATATCTTTATATCATATTAAAACTATTCATATCATATTCATTCAGCACACCTTCCAAACCGCTTTGTCAGGTTCAATTTTAATATCAGGCACGTTTGCATTTACCATCAACGCAAACAAGTTGAGTATCAAATTCGCGTTTTTGCGTAAAATGTTAAATGCACTATAACAATAACTTCTAAATCTTAGATAGTGAATGGAATTGGCTCCACCCATAGCTTCTACCATTTCCTTGCAAAGTTTCATCGGTGGCGGAAATGGTTTTGGGTCACGCCCCAGTATAAATCCAAAATCAACATGGAAAAGATTACCATCAGGTGAAAGTAGTAAATTATCCAAATGTCGATCTCCAACTCCCAATAAATATGTTACAACACAATATCCAGCTTTTTTTAAAAAAATAAAAATAAAAAATTAACAATCAAAGAAAAAACCAAATAAATAACATATTTATTTAGTTATTTAAACATACCACAACTCTTTACATAAGTATCCATTACAACAGGATTAACGCCATAGGCTCCTACTGCCTTTTCTTCTGGATGATGAGCTTTCAAAAACATTAACAAACTTCCATTATAATCATTCAGAACATCTGCTAATGATGATGACGGTATAAATTGTACTAAACCATGGTCGGTTCCTGTTGCAAGTACTTTATAAGGAGTTAATTTAAGATCCAAATTTTCTTTTCTTAAAAGTTTATCCATTAGTGTAATAATCTGTATAACAAGTTGATCTTGACGAAGATCATCACCAGTTTTAAAAATTGCCTATATAATAAATAAAATTTTTGTCCTCAAAAAACAAAACAAAACAATCAATAAATATTTGTTAAAGTTGCCATACTTACTGGATACTCGCCACCGCCTGATAATGAAAAAGTTAAACGTAGCGGAAACAAATTACTCTTAAACACGGTGGTCTTTTCTGGTATAATTCCAGTAACACTGATCCGTGCATCAAGTGGTAATGGTAAAGGAGGAAAATTTAATAATCCTTGTTTTGGATCCGATATTATTTCTCTTAGTCTTTCAATCTAAAAATTACGTATTTGAACGTTAGATTAAGAAAAATGGTCAAACATACTTATCGACTTACTTTTTTCGGTCTACCATCTTTCATTGTTCTTATTTCTCTAGATATAGAAGAAAGGGCTTCGATCAATAACCCTTGCCTGTAAAAAATATCTCTTCGTTGAACTCCTGATGGAATCTTCATTAAGGAAAATGTAATTAATTTTCAATAAATCAAATCAAATAATAAAAAGATATATATATAATCTAATTTATTTATCTCGAAACCTTACCTCTGTCATCTTCGTCTGAAATTGGAATGATACTTTTCCATACATCTTAAATAAAACTTTATCTTCACATTCACATTCAACCATAAGATACCTAAATACATATAAATTTTTTGAATACAAGTTTAAAATAATTCTATTTTTTTAAAAAAATATAAACTAAACTCATATTCAAGTTTTTTTTTTTTTTTGATTAAAAAGGTTACAGACCAATGAAAATTATTTACAAGGAGTGGATTTTTAATTGCACGTTCAATTAAAAATTCTGCTAAACTGGATTCATGTGAAGAGCTTGATTTCTCAGTGATATTTTCAAATTTTAGAGCTTGAACTAATTGTAATAAATATAATAATAGCTCCTACGGTTCATTTTTTTTTTTTAAAAAATATATAAATATTTTATATTTGTTAAATGCATATTTCAAAAAATCCAAAATTTTCACATACTTCATCATCCGCCTTCTTTAATTGATTGACTGCATAAGAACGAACAGCACGATTTTCGAATTTATCTCCTAATAATTCCAATGCATCATCTAAATCAATACCAGCCCATTTTGATAATAGATCTACCGCTTGTTTTGATTCTGTAGGATCTGACCAGACGACACATTTTAAAAATTTTGTAAGTGCCTGCAGAGAACAATATATATACATATATTTATTAAATAGTTCTTTATGACATTAAATTTGAAAACTGGAAAAGTCTTAAATTTTGCGCACTCTTTTATCACGAGTAAGGTAAAACCTAAATCTCCATAGTAAATCCTTTTCTTTTGGAGTCAAAGTTTGAGTTGGTGGATACTTTAATATTTCCTATATAGACCATAGACGTATATGTATATAAAATAAGAGTTAGGAACTTTGTTTAATAACGAACTTTCATATATAAGAACTATTATTATTATTATTATTATTATTATTATTATTATTATTATTATTATTATTATTATTATTACATTTAATTCATCACGAATCTTTGCATTTGGTTTCAAATCATGATCCAATGGTCCATTACGATGATCTCTGGCCAGACGTCTATGCTTAGCCTCTACAGGATTATCCCATAAAATTTCAGAGTCTCTTATCAATATCATACTAGAACCACTTGATGCAAGTGAATTGGATTGAACTGATCCGGCATTACTACAAGTAATTGAAACCATTCATAAATGGTCACAATATTGGAGAAAATAAAGGTATAATATTAATATTATTATACCTTTGTAATTTTAGAATAAAATTGTACTTTTAAGTATTTATTTGCTTTTATTATTATTATTATTATTATTATTACATTTAATTCATCACGAATCTTTGCATTTGGTTTCAAATCATGATCCAATGGTCCATTACGATGATCTCTGGCCAGACGTCTATGCTTAGCCTCTACAGGATTATCCCATAAAATTTCAGAGTCTCTTATCAATATCATACTAGAACCACTTGATGCAAGTGAATTGGATTGAACTGATCCGGCATTACTAGGTGAAGTAGGATTTACTGGCAATAAATATTCCTAAAAATATAAAAAATTAATAACAAAAGTTAATTATTATAAAGTGTATGTGTTAAATCTAATGATTAATATTAGTATATGAAAACTCACTGGTTCACTGAAAACAATAGGAAAATCAAATTTTGGCAAATCTATATACAGATACAGCTTTTTTGATTTTGAAGACTCCAGCTATATTGTAATATATATATAAATCAATAATAAGCTTGAGAAAAAAAATAGTTAAATTTAATAAAATAACGTATTATACCTTATTAACTTTTTCTATTTGACGAAATGCTAGATTATCAAGCCACTCCAATTTGGACATATCATTCCTTTCATAACGTTTTACCAACTATGATAGATTAATTACAAATGTATAATATATTTTTTAAAAAAACTATGATATTATTCTAAAAGACCAAAAAATCAAAACCTTTTCCAATCTATCCATTTCGTTTTTATCGCCTGTTTTACTAGGAGTTTGAGTGTTATCATCGCCATCCGCTTCTACATTTGGCCAAAGATATAATTTTTGTTTACCTTTTCGCAAAGTACTAATAAAAAAAGAAAAAATATTGTTAGTAATAAGAAATTTCATTATGGTTTTTATTTCTTTTAAAAAAATTTTTTTTTGAAATTGTTTTTGTTGTTATTTACACTATTGGAAGAATAAAAAATAATAATAAAATTCCAAAGTCAATGTAATTATTTTATTCTAAAGTGTTTTCTAAAGTATTTCTATAAAATAAAATAAATTACTGTTATTACAACCAAATCTCAAAATTAAATTATTAGTTTTTTAATTCTTTTCTACGTCTACGAGATTTATCATTAATCTTTCTATTATTATTACCATCATCAATATCATTATTATTGTTATTATTAATGTTAGTATCATCTTTATTGCTATCTTTTTTAAATGTTTTCTTCCGTTTTATAAGTTTTTTATAAATTAAAATAGGGATTGAAAATATAAAGACATTCAAAATTCTTGGTTTCTCGATTTCATTCTCATCCATAATCAATTCTTCGCCATCTTTAGTCAATAAGAAAACATTATCAGAATCAACAATAAAATTCTTTTCATTAACTAAAATCTTTTTCCTGGTATTTTGTTTTTTCATTCTTTTACCCCATGCGATCTCTCTCGATTCTTGTATATAATATCGTACACGTTGTTTGTCCTGATAATAGTTTATCCACATGATAACATAATGAAACAATGATGACAGCATCAATAAAAATATTACTACAGTACTAAGTCCCGGTCTATGCCGACTATAATAATAGCCAGTACCACGCCATTTTGGTACTCCATTCTTTAGAAAAAAATTGTATCGTTCTCTTGATTCTGAATTACGTAAAATTGCTCCTATTGAACTTAGTCTAGAAAATTTTTCTTTGGTATCTCTATCGGGATTTTTATCCGGGCTAAATAAAAATTACCAATAATAAATCATCAAAATCCTGGAGACAAAAATTTTCTTTGTCGGAAATAATTACATTGATCAAACCTTTGGCAAAGGTAATTTAATTAATTTCGCCAATCAAAACTCGGGTATTGGTTTAGCCTCACTGGAATAACCAAACAATGATAATAATGATATCATTGGCCAAAATCCATCCATCATCGCTACGAGCATTAATTATCTGAAAAATTGCTTTGACAATAATTTTGTTGGTCAAAATATTCATCAAAATTCTATTATCGCGAATAATTTCAATCAAAACAATGATCAACTACTATTTACATAGTAATAGTATCTCTCAACTTCAAAACATCCAAGAATTTTTATATAACAATAACAATAACAGATATTAAATGTTAATATTTATACAATAGTTCGTTCAACTAATTTCAAGTAGCGCCGATAACAATAATAATAACAATTATAATTATTTTCTAATTTTATTTTTTCGATTTTTTTCTATTTATTTTGTAAATCCATATAATCAAATTTTTAACGTTATATTTAATCATCAAGTTATTTCAAATCTTTAAAATAATGCAGCGTTATTTGAATTATACTTCGAATCTAAAACAATCCCAAAGTTCACACATATATTGTCAAAATATCATAAATTTATAGAGAATTACCTAAACAATAATTGCGAAAGATATGTTTATTTATTCAAGTTTGTCAATATTCTGTATTTTCAATTATAACAATTATTCATATTAAATTGTTATTAATCTGACGATTTCAAGCCTTGAATAATGTCTAAACCTTTCGCCAGTTACATTATGCAGAAAATTCAATTTTGGTCTGGAAGCCTTATACCCGGTTTTTGCTAGAAATTCTCCCATTTTCATTCACATCTACTTATTTCAACTGTTTCTTTCATTTGTTCCTTCGACCTATTATTTGAAAATGATTTGGTGATAAATTAAATTGGCCATTCGTAGAAAAGGTAATAATACTGGAAATTTTTAAATATGAATATTATTGCTATTATTTGTTGTCGTTGTTGTTGTTGTGGATTGCTCTTTATCGAATTTACAAATCATGAAGAAGCAAAGAAATTTTCATGATACAAACTTCTAATGATGATAAAGTGAATTCCTAATTTTATGTCAATTAATAATAATAAAGTAGTGTGAAATGATCCTAACAATACGTAAACAAAAACCGCAATTTTGTGATAAAGA